GCTAGGAGCTGGAACCAACTTCCAAGGGAAGTGGTGCTGGCCCCTACCCTGGGGGTCTTTAAGAAGAGGCTGGATGCCCACCTAGCTGGACTCGTTTGAGTCCCATTTCTCTTTTTGGGGTTTTTGTTGTTCTCCCGCCCTGGCGGGGGGTCGGGCTAGAAGATCTACTAGGTCCCTTCCGACCCTTAATCTATGAATCTATGAATCTATGAAATGCTTGCTTTTTAATTCCCATTTCTGTTGCCTGCTCTGTGGCTGAGGTGGTCAGCCCAGCACTGCTGTTACTGTTGGGTATCTAGATATTTTGGGAATTGGGCTGTCTTTGAAACCCTTGTATGCTCCCTGCATCTTCCACTATCACTTCCATTTAGCTGAGCACAGGTCTCAGAACAGAGGTCCTAACCTTCTCCAGACTTCTGTTCCAGATGAAGCCAGCCAGAAAGAAGCAAAGACTCTATAGCATCTCTTTGGAATAGTACCTTAAAGCATTTCTGCTATGGAATCAGCCTGCAGATCTGGAAATTGGGCTCTCTTTAAATAATGTGTATACATTATTTAGAGAGAAACTTGTTCTAAGAAATAACTGTTTACTTCTCAAATTCTTATTTTAGAGGTGTCTTTCCTCATGTCACTGCTTGTTTGAGTATCCTAAACAAGGGATCTAGGACAGTTTGGATGGTGTGTTCTGGTTAGATTATTTTGGAGGTAAAATATTTAACTGTGTGAACTTGATGGCATTGTTAATTCACTCTCTCTGCATGCATGAAAGCCCAACCTGTTTCTATCCATTAAACCCCAAACAAGAGTCCTTGACGGCTTTAAAGGTTTCACTACTTAAATACATGATGCAGGTCTGCATCTTTCAGTATTACAATAGCAATTTGCACTTGTAAATTGTCTAGTTTTCTTAAATGTGGGGCTATCTAAATGAAAAAAAAATCTTCCCTGTTTCTGTTTGAAATATGAGTTACGCTGTAAAGCCATCCAAAAAAAAGAGCAAACCAAAAACGCCTTCGTTCCTTGAAATGAATAGCAGTAACTGTCTTAATAGGGACTTTATTCTGGAATTGGTGGTTGGGGTTCTCAGCTTGAGTGTGACAGAGTTTTTTTTCTCTCCACTTGAGCTGGAGAAAAATAACAAAAGCTCTTAAATTTTTCACATGTTGAATTAACCACTTCAAGACCAAGTCTGTTTGCATGATCCACTTATTATATTTTAGCTTAGCTCAGAGAGAATTAAACCAATGTGAGCTCTTTTACATTGGACACTGCATAAATCTGTGCAGAAGCAGGTTTTTTAGGTATAAAACTAACTTTCTATTTAATTTGCATAGCGATAGTACTATTTTAATCCTTCACTATGTATTCATGTGTCTGTTTACATACTAGAAGCAGTGACCTGATTTATTGCAACATTACAGAACTAGGTTTCCGCTGGACTGAAAGGAGAAAAGATTGATTTGTCGCCATAGTCCTTCCCCAGAGTGCATGAAATGTTAGCAGGGATGCTTTATTTTCATCAATGGATAAATAGGGATGCTGTCCCAGGCACTTTGTGTTCAACAGACAGACTTGGGCGCTGTTCAAGAGAGATCAGAGTGGAAGCAGTGCAGGCCAGGATGGAGGAAGTAACTCCTAGCTTTGCATCCAACACTGGCAGGCTTCTGTAAATACAAGGGCTGAGGTTGGAACTTGGGGAGGGACAGAGTGAATCGGGGGATTGTATACCGGCTGCCTTGACTGAGGATGGCGGATTGAGGGATTAAACAGGTGAAAGTAAATCATGCCACCTCCACCGTCAAGTTGAAGGGGGCAGCTCTTATACGTGTCTGATATACACAGGTAAATCTTATCCAAGCCTGGATCTTTGTGCTGCATCTGTCTGACATGGTTGGAAATGCCCAGTTGCTTTTGGTGGTCTTTTGTTTTTTGGGGGGCAAAAACACAATTTCAGTAGGCTGCACTTGATTTAAATATGAGCAGCTGCACAGCCCTGCTCCATTTTATGCAGGTAGGTGGGACCTTCAGGCTCCAGGCAAATGGTGAAAAGGGCACTTGGTTGGACAGGACTTTGCTCCCAGTTCAGAGGCAAGGCTCAACAGGTGTCTTTCTGAGACTCTGACACACAAAGAACCGGTGTGTTTTTTCCTAAATGAGGTTGAACATTGCAAGGAAGTGCCAGTTTGCTGAGAAAAAAATTGGCTCCAGAGCTATAGTTTATTTACATCGGGAAGTGTGGGAAGGGGAGGATATAAATCTGTAGGGGAAATGTAGCCTGGGGTTTCAGATTAAAGCACCACAGATGTGTGCTAACTTTTTTTTAAGAGTTGAAATCCTCGCTAGTAAAGGTGGAATGTCTGCAATGCTGGATGAAGGCTAGTCTTTTGCAAGCTGAGCTTTCCCTGTGTTCAGGAAAGAAGTGCCCTATGATATATCGTTGTGCAATAAAACACCAACAGAGGCTTTCTGCCATTTATCGTAATAGGAAAATCCTCCCAGGCTTGTACTCTGCAATTAGGCAAGTCATATATTTTCATCAAGTTGAGCTTTCAAGTAAAGACCTATCCCACTGACTTCCAGATGTTGTAGGACTAAGTGAGGAGTAGAACAATGTGCTTCCACCAGACAGATCTTTTTAGAAACTGTGATGATCACAGTCCTTGTTACTCCCTCCTAGTAAGTGCCCCCATTCCTGGAGGTGCTCACTCTTGGCCTTGCTTTACTAAATCAGTTGTTTTTGGTGCACGAAACAGTTAAGATTCACTTAACCGTGATCGCACAAGTCGTTCTTTCTGCTTCAGATGAATGTGTTTGACTTCTGTTGTCCATTCATGTAGTACTGTTAGAAGGAAAAGGGTGCAGAAGCACAGAAGAGCATACATAGGCTAACGGGGTGCCAGTAGGAAATTGAAGGTTTAGAATACATCATTTGGGGGAAAGAGAAAGTGAATACCAAGCTATAGGTAGTTGAATTTTTGGTAGGTTTACAGGCCTTGATCAGAAGAGTTTTACAGTAAAGTTCTGTAAAACTAGTAGCATTGGTGTGTAAATTAGCATCCTCACATTTTGCTTTGAGGTATCTGGCTTAAGTTTAAAATTTAAACTTGGTAAAAATTGCCAAGTGTCACCTTTTATGTGGTATCCAGGCACTTCCACACCTCTTCTTCCACATGAGCACTTGACTGTGTCCATCAGCTGAGGCTTTCAAACCTTCGAGTTAAACCAGACAGGTTGGGTTTTACTGAGGACATTTTGTATTTCTCCGTCTCCAAAGCAGCCATGTATGTTGTCATCAACTCATCAGTAATGCCGATAATGTTTTTCCTTATCTTTTTTGGGTTTTCAGGCAGTTTCATGATTAACTGAAGCATTTATCCAGCTTGGTTCTTTCATAGCCACTTTTTTCTGCAAGCAACACTTGCAGCAAGCCCAGACAGCGCTCCTCCAGCAGCAAACAGCTGGTGTGTACTGTGTACAAGACATCCCAACTCTCCATTCAGCTATCGAGAGCTTAGTATACCCAGAAGAGTTAACTTCCTTCGGAGCCAGACTTGTAGCAGATGGCTGGAGAAATGAGGCAAGGAAGCCAGCCAGTGTATCTCTCGGATGGGAGAGGAGTGACTGGGACGTGTAGATTGGACTTGGCTTTCTGGAGTGTTAGCTTTTTTGGCCGAGCTCATCAGCAGATGGGGAGTGACAGTGGGAAGATGAGCTGCTTGTTAACATTGGTTTACAGAATGGAATTTCCCCTCAAAGCAAATTAACCCCTCTTTAGAACAGCTGTAGGCTTTTATTTTTTTTCCTTCAAACCTGACAGCGATAGTTCATTGAAGGTACCTTTTTTAAGGGGGGTGGCGGGGAAGCCTGCTGTTTGTGTAACATGGCTGTGTACTGACTCAGAACGCCATTAAAGCAGCCTCTCGTAACATCTGGGCTTCTACAGCGTATGAAAATGTTTTCCTTCTGGCAGCAGATTTTACAGAGACGTAATAATACACGGTTTACAAAAATAATTCTGTTTTCAGATTCTGTCGCTTGCCAGCAAGCGAGGCCCATCCAGGTGCAGAGGAGACTCGGTGGGGAGCCTGTGGGAAGTAAACCGGCCAGTGCCAGCTCCCACCATGCCCCAGATTTGTTCGATTTGCTGATAGTCCCCAACCTCACCATAATGCATGTGTGTTTGTCTAGCTCAGATTTACATTCACCCTCTGCTGAAACTGGACCCTTTCTCTCAGCAGCACGTCTCCATTGTATGTAAACAATGTGACTCTCTAATCTACGGGAAGAATGAAATGCGCTTGTTCCCCTTCCTCCTGCCTGTAAGGTTATTTTTTTGCCTTCAGGGCTCCAGCTAAATGACATGCTCCCTCAGGCTTGTTAGTCTCATAGCTTATTAGAAGAAACCCGTAGCTGCTCTCAGTTTTCAGACTTTGACCCTGAGGGAAGGATATGAACAGATGGATAAGAGAATTCAGTGGGATTACTGAAAGTCTTTGAAGAGTGCTCTTCCCACCACATTTTCCCCCCCCCCCCCC